TAGCGTTTGCGGCCAGCTCTGGGTTTTGCAGCTTGGAAGGGTGCAAGCTCAGGCGCCACTTTGGAGTGAGGGCGGTGCTCCTGTTCAGGAGGGACTCCCTTGGATGGATAGGTAGCTAGCTCGTGGCGGTCCGTGACAGTCCGCTGAGTTCTGGCTACTTAGAAGAAGTGGGCGATGCAAAGGGCAGGGTAGAAGAGACTGAGCAGTTAGGCTTGTGTAGGCGATTTGCCACCAGACAGGGTGACAGTGTAATGTCATAGCGAGGTGTAGTTCCAGGACTTATTTCGTTTAAGGGGCTCTTGTAGAGGGACACTTAACCTGCATTGCCTCTGCTGCCTGTGAACGGAAAGTGTTTTGGGTTTGATGAGTTGTGATTTTGACTTAAGGTTTGATACTTTGTTTTAGAATTTAACGTTACTGTCACAGATGGCTTTTAAGACCCTGTTTCTGTTTTGTTTTTTTTTCCCCTAGGGTGTCTTTTATGAATAATCAAAAGCAGCAAAAACCAACGCTATCAGGCCAGCGTTTTAAAACCAGAAAAAGAGGTAATTATTTGTATCTCCCTTAACTTTTCAGACGTTTTGTATCTTGGTTGCTCTCACAGTCAGCTGCATGTTACTAAACCTTCAAGAGAGAAAATAACAGAAACTTGGGTTTCTAGTTGATTGCTATTTCAGATGACACAACTTGTTTCTACTGTTTTCTTAAGTCTTCACTTTTTAAGTATCAGTATTCCTTTTAATGTGAAAAGTAGTGGCTAAGGAAAAAGCTGTGCTTTTAAGATGATAGGGTTCTTTGTTTAAGACATGGTTTCTCTGTAACAGCTCTGACTACTGTCCTGGAACCCATTTTGTAGACTAAACTGGCCTTGAACTCACAGAGATCTGCCTACTTCTGCCTCCTGGGATGAAAGGCATGTACCAGAGTTTGTTTGAACCAAGAAGGCTAAAACAAAGGGGGGCACTCCTTAAATCGGTAGTTTCACCAAGATTTTATGGAGATCTATGAAAGGGGAGCTCATTGATAGATTGTCTAACATACTCTAGGTCTTGGAAAAGATGTGTGGGAGAAAAATCAGATTTTATGAAATTGTAGAATACAGTTCACGTTGTAATTTTCTTTCTTTAAGGTTCTCAGATTGTAGCTCAGTCTGGCCTCCAGTGCCCTCCAAGTGCTGGGATTAAAGGCCTGAGCTTCTACTGGCAATCCAACTTGGGGATTGAACCTAGAACTATTGTCTTTAATCCCAGCATTTGGGAGGCAGAGGCAGGCAGATCTCTTGAGTTCAAGGACACCTGGTCTACAAATCGAGTTCCATGACTGCCAGCGCTACACAGAAAACCCTGTCTCAAAAAACTAAAACAGTGGGGTGGTGGTGGCACACGTCTTTAATCCCAGCACTCGGGAGGCAGGCGGATCTTTGTGAGTCCGAGACCAGCCTGGTCTACCAGAGCAAGTTCCAGGACAGCCTCCAAAGCCACAGAGAAACCCTGTCTGGAAAAAACAAACAATAATAATAATGAAGAAGAAGAAGAAAAGTATGTATTCTGTGTGTTCCGTGGATTCCTGGCATCATCTTGATATAATTATAGTAACAAGTAACTTTTATCATTAGCATCTGGGAAGTGTCACTTCCTTAAATCCAGGTAAAGGTCTTTTATGCTTGGTATAGTGTGGCATAATGGAGTGTCTTTAAGCCCCCCCCCCCCAAAAGTAAAAACAAACCAAAAAAAGAATCTCCTGGCCTCCTGGTTCAGGGTATAAATATGTGTTTGCTTTGACTTAAGGGAGTTTTGAAAACAGGACTTTTAGTAAAATTAAATCTTTGAAAAAATAATTTCTCTCTAGTTGTGTGTAAAGAAATCAAGTATTGTCTGGCTTCAGCTGACAAAAGTGAAAATTCAAATATCATCATGTAACATAAATTGACAAAGCAAGACAAAGGGCTGGGGTGCCCATCAGTGGCAGAGCACTTGCCTATCATGTGAAGCCCTAGAGAATGTGAGGATTAGATAATTCAGTAAAGGCTGTGTGCTGCTGCCTTGTATTTAGTAACCACAGAAACTATGAGGTACATGTTACTTTGTAAGATTTATAGGTACTGAAAATGGCTTGTTTGTTCCTGGAAGAGATGCTTCAGCAATTAAGAGCAGTTGATGTTCTTGCAGAGTATCTGGGTTTGAGTCCCAGCATCCACACCAGGCAGCTCACATCTGCCTGTATCTCCAATATCAGGGATACAGTACCCACTTCTGGCCTCCTCAGAGTCCAGGCACACACGTGGTAAACATACATCCTCGTAGGCATTTACTATTTAAAAGAGGAAAGTGACTAGTTGCATAGATGCACAGGATATAGGGGGAACTAGGGTTTCATTACTGTGGGTTTTGTTTGTTGAGGTAGGACCTCTGGAACTCACTGTGTAGACCAGGCTAGCCTCAAGCTCATATATCCTGCCTTTGCCTCTCAAGTGCTGGGATTAAAGGTGTGTGTCACCATGCCCAGCCCAACAATCAGGTGTTTTGACTTAAGGGCACATGCTCTGAGCTACTAGACAATATAGTCTTCCAGTTATATAATTCTCTGATTTCCCTTCTGGATAAGAGTGATATGGTCATACATACAGCTACATAGTAAAACCTTGTCTCAAAAAAAAAAAAAAAAAAAAAAAAAAAAAACACAAAACAGCCAGGCAATGGTGACACACACCTTTAATCCTAGTACTCTGAAGGTACAGACAGGCAGGTCTCTGAGTTCAAGGCCAGGCTGGTCTACATAGTGGGTTCTAGGACATCCAGGGCTAGTAGAGACCCTGTCTCAGGAAAAAACAAAAGAAAAAGATGTAGTTTGTTAGAGTGCTTGTCTAGCATGTATAGAGCCCTAGGATCTGTTCCAGAGCTGATATGGAAGCTGAAGGATCATAAATTGAAAGTCATAGTGAGTTATAGGCTACCCTGAGGCAAATGAGACCCTGTCTCAAAAACAAACAAAAAAGGGACTGAAGAGCTGAGTATAGTGCTTGCCTCACAAGCATGAAGACTTGCATTTGATCCCTGTTAGCCACATAAAAGCCAGGCATAGCAGCTCATGTTTGTGATTCAGCGTGGAGAGGCAGAGGCCAGTGGATCCCAGCCAGTCTAGCCAAATCAGTGAGCTCTAGATCCAGTGAGAGAATGTCTTAATAAAATGGATACCAGTTAGGAAGACACTGTATCAACCTAATAAAGCTCTGTACTCAGTTCTGTAGCACATGGAAGTGCAAGTTTAGGCAGATAACTATAACCCTGGGGACGGGGAACTTGAGTGCAAATTTTCAGAGAAAGGTTTAAGGGGTTTTGTTTTTATTTGTTTTTCAGACGGGATCTCACTAGATAGAACAGGCTGGCCTGGAACTCAGGTCCACCTGCCTCTACCTTCCTAGTGCTGGAATAAAAGGCTTGTACCACCAATGGCTGGTATAGATTAGTGTTCATTAGAGCAGTTTGGTGACAGTGGGAGCAGGAAGCCCAGCACTTCAGCTTACAGAATTGGAGTAGCCACATGGTATTGACCAGGTAGGTCATCCTGCCTTGAACTTGCAGGAGGGACACTGAGGTGTCTAAACTAATGTTTCTCCTGTCAAGCCTACTTGTTCCAAGTCTTGGGTACTTGCCTTTTTCCAGCTATTAAATTAAACAAAACTCAGTAGATGGTCTTACTTTATAAGGTGCTGGTTGTACCATCTTCAATAACTTTTTTGTTTTCCTCCCTCCAGATGAAAAAGAGAGGTTTGACCCTACTCAGTTTCAAGACTGTATTGTTCAAGGCTTAACTGAAACTGGTGCTGATTTGGAAGCAGTAGCTAAGTTTCTTGATGCTTCTGGAGCAAAACTTGACTACCGCCGCTATGCAGAAACACTCTTTGACATTCTGGTGGCTGGTGGAATGCTGGGTAAGTATCTGGGTTTTGTGGGTGTAATTAAGAGAAGTGAAATATAGAGATAATTGAAAAGCCAGAATGTGAGCTTTTGACAAGCTCAACAAGAGGGATGTGTTTTGGTTATATTGTGTTTTGTTTTTATTTTTATTTGTGTACATTAGTATTTTGCTTGCATGTCTTTCCCTGGACTGCCATGTGGGTACTAGGGATGGAGCTGGTGCACTTAGCCATCGAGCAAACTCCAGCATAGGGATGGTTTCCCTATATAACCCTGGCTGGCATGGAGGTCACCATATAGATTGGGTTGGCCAAACTTTTTCTGTTTTTTTCCCTTTGTTTTGGAGACATGTTCTCATTTATGTAACCCTGACTGGCCCTGAACTTGATACATTGCTAAGGATTCTTGTGGCTTCTAAGTACTAGGATTAGAGGCTTGGGCCACCGCAGAAGGCAAAAAACTTTCAAAAGTAAAGAGAATAGTATAATGAATATCTGATCTATTGTACAACTTTAATGCTTATTTTTAACACAGTCCTACTTGGTCTATACCCTGCAAATTTCAGATACCCAACTACTTCTCTTTTTTAAGATAAGGTTTCACTTGGATATAGCTCAGGCTAGCCTTGAATAGGGAATATCTCTTAACTTGCCTTCTTCATAGTTATAATATGAAAAATGGGATTTTTGAACCAGTTGTGGTGGCATTATAAGTATTCAGTAGAATTATGAGTTCCAGGCCAGCCTGGGCTAAGTGGCAAGATCCTTCCTTAAAGGTACAATGCAGCCTCCTTGGAAATTTAAAAGGAGTTACTTTCTGTGTAGAAAGTTAAATATAATCAAAACCAGATCTGAACACTTCTACTTGACCTGTTGGGCACTACTAAATGGTTGATTCATTGAGTTTATTTCACTAGACATGTTTATGTTTATTTTGTATATGCGTGTGTGTATGTAGGCATACATAGTAAATATTAGGTTCCCGAAGACTTGGTAGCAAACACCTTTACTCACTGAATCTCTTTGGGTGGGGGTTCTTGATTGCTGTGCAAATTACTCATTTGTACATACTGAGCCATCTGACCATTTGGATTTTAATTCATCTTAGAGTGTTACTATTTTATTTTACATTGGAAATCCTTATTAGTAGGTAGCTGAAATGGTCACTCATTTAAGATAACAGTGACTGCAAATTTACTGGTAAATATTTCTTAGCCCCAGGGGGTACACTGGCAGATGACGTGATGCGCACACGTGTCTGTGTGTTTGCAGCACAAGAAGACCTAGAGACCATGCAAGCATTTGCTCAGGTAAGCGAAACTGTCCATCATACCTACCAACCATCTGGGGAGTGTCCAAGGGATATTCAGAATAATATAAACTTCAGAATAATATAAAAAAATTAATCTGCTGTGGTTTGGGGGTTTTGTTTGTTTGATTTTGTTTTTTTGGGGGGGGGTTCTTTTTGTTCTTTTGTTTTTTTCTTCGAGACAATGTCTCAGTATGTAGCCTTCGCTACCATAAAACTAAGAGATCTCTCTTCCTCAGCAAGCCCAGCTTTTGCTCTTTTCGGTCTTTTGGGGAGAAAAAACAATTACTGTGGGTGTGCCCCCGACTGCAGGTGTCCTTGAAGACCAGCGCCTTCAGATCTTCTGAATCCATAGTAACAGGCAGTTGTGAGCTTGTCCATTGTTCTGGGAACCAAATTTCTGAAACAGCAGTGAATACTCTTAATCACCAAGTTAACTCTCCAGCCCCTAGATTTGTATCTCTGGAATTATTCTCTTTAACAAAGGCAGTACGCAGATGGGCAGTGGTGGCACACACCTTTAATTCCAACACTCTGGAGGCAAAGACAGGTAAATCTCTGAGTTCGAGGCCAGCCTGGTCTACAGAGCAAGTTCCAGGACAGCCAGGGCTACACAGAGAAACCCCGTCTCAAAAAAGACCCCCCAAAAAAGGGGGGCAATAAGCTATGTTGGGTATCACATCTCTATAACCCCAGCACTTGAGAAATTGAGATAGGAAGATGGGGAATTCAAGGTCATCCGTGGGTACCGTATGTTCACTGCCAGCCTAGACTACATGAATGTCTGTCTGAGTTCCCTATCCCACCTCCACACAAAGAAGATACTAAGCTGGATGTAGTAATCCATGCCTGTAATCCCATACTCAGGAAACTGACCCTAAAAAAATCTCAAGAGTTGAGGCAGACTGACTTATGCTACCTACAGGGAGACTGTGACCAAAAAAAGCTAAGAAAAGTTAGTTTTCTATTATGATTGCTATATTGAGCCATTCTGTAGACATTCTTTTCATTTTGAAATAAAAAATGAGTTTATTGATTCAGGCTGGGACTCCACTTTGTAACCCTCATGCCTTAGCTTTCCCAGGGCTGAAAGCTCTGTCACCATATTTAGCTTCATAGTTAAATTTTTACTTTTTGTAAGCAAAGAATTTAATGTACCTAACCTGGGATTTGGTGTCTATGTCTAGGAAAAATAGAGCTGTGTTTTAGGATCTTGAGCAATAACTAACTAGTCTTTATTTAACATAAAGTGATAAAGTTATTAAGAAGTGGCTATTAAATGTTTATATTTTCAATATGTGGTGAGATTATCCAATGGAGAGTCCTCTTTTTCAGTTCTAAAACTGACTTTGATCTTCTAGGTTTTTAACAAGTTAATAAGGCGCTACAAGTACCTGGAGAAAGGTTTTGAAGATGAAGTTAAAAAGGTATGAGAAGGAGTTGGGTATGGTATGTACTTAGCATATGCAAGACCAAGCATTCAGTCTGTAGCCCCAGATTAGAAAGGGAAAGGAGCAGATATGGAAGTGTTAAGTTCCAATTCAACCACTTCTTGTTTTAGATGTTAGGAGGCTACTATTGAAGTATAGTTTGGGGAGTGTATATCACTTAGTTTGCTGAAATACTTGAAACTCACACATTGTCAGTGTTGTGTTAAAACAAATGGCAGTTAAAAATCTAGGGATTATTTGGAAAGAGAAAGGGCCAGAGCATAAGATGCGTGAGAGATTACGTGTATTTGAGTTCTGATGCCAAATCTTCATAAATGGATGCAGCAGCAAAAAACTGACAAAATTAAATGTTGAATATCGGGCTCTGTTCTAACTCTTTAGTACTAATAAAAAAACCTTGTAGGGTGAGTTTTATTGTTCATATTTAATATGTAATGAAACCAAGATACAGATATGAAGTAATTTGCCCAAGACCACTAGGTTAATGAGTCTTAGAATGGAGATAAAAACATTAATGTTTGGACCTCAGAGCTGCTTATGGTTTGTTTTATGCTTTTAGCAGTAATGCAAGTGCTCTTTTTAACCCTAATTTTTTACTTTTACAGTTATTGCTCTTCCTAAAGGGATTTTCAGAGTCGGAGAGGAACAAGCTCGCTATGTTGACTGGGGTTCTTCTGGCTAATGGAACACTTAATGCATCCATTCTTAACAGCCTTTATAATGAGAATTTGGTTAAAGAAGGTAATTAGCTTGAACTGATATAAAAGCATGGTTTACTGTTTGTGTGTGTATGTGCTGGGTGTCTGTGGACATTCTGCATGCTGCAACTCACTAAGTAGGTTAGGCTGGCTGGTCACTGGACCGGAGGGAGTCACTGTTTCCATGTCCCTAGTGCTGGGATTACATGTGACACTATCAAGCTTGGCCTTTCTTCCTCCTTCAACAGGAGTTCTGGAAGTTAACTCCTGTCCTCATGTTTGCAAAGTGCATGTCTTACCAACTTAAGTATCTCCCAGGCACCTATGAGCCTCTAGAGAGTTCTCAGAACCAGGCATGGTTGTGCAAACCTGAATTCCATCATTTTGGAGGCTGAGGTGGGAAGATTGGGAATTTGGTATCAGAATAAACAACATAACAAAACTTATCTCAAATTTTTTTTTAGGATTTGTTTTAGAGTTTATGTACAGCACATGCATGTAGGAATCTTGGATAGCCAGAAGAGAAAGTTGGGTTTCCAGGAACTAGAGTTACAGGAGACTATAAAATAAGCAGGTGCTGGGATCTGAACTCAAGTCCTCTTAACCATTGAACCAACCTGCTGTCTATCCAGCCCCTTTAAAAAAATTTTTAAGCATTTCAATTTAGTGGGCACTTGATTCATATCTTTAGTGTTCAAGTTTGGGGTATGTCTTTAGAGTACACACATATCCAGGTTGAAGCACCTAGGATTATATGTACTAAAATGAGAAATCCAAAGGAACCCAGAGACTTCTGTCAATTGAGGGAACCCAGGAGTTAAGGCAAGTGCTCTACCAACTGAGCCTTAGACCCCAACCCCTGCTGTCCTTTTCTTAAATGCCTACCTTGCTGGGAATGTGTGGTCCCTTTAATACTTAGAATAGCACTGGTTAGCACATACATTCTCAACTGTGATTGGATCAGTAATTTAAGATTAGCAAGTGGCAGACTATATAGGGCTTGCTGTGAAATGGTCACATTGGCACAGGGAAGTAGAGGGTTTGGATGGACTTGAGTAGGTACTTCTATTAGATAAGCTTCTTTCCTTTACAGGGGTTTCAGCAGCATTTGCTGTAAAGCTCTTTAAATCATGGATAAATGAAAAAGACATCAATGCAGTGGCTGCAAGTCTCCGGAAAGTCAGCATGGACAACAGACTGATGGTTCGTACCTTTCCTCCCATTCCTCCCAACCCATTCCATTCTGTGGTGATAAAAGCTTCCTGGCTTTTAGTCTGAAAACCCTTCTTTCATTTGGTGGGAAGACCACCTAACCAATTGTTCTTTCAGGAGCTGTTCCCTGCCAATAAGCAAAGTGTGGAGCACTTCACCAAGTATTTCACTGAGGCAGGCTTGAAAGAGCTTTCGGAATACGTCCGCAACCAGCAGACCATCGGGGCGCGGAAAGAACTCCAGAAGGAGCTTCAGGAGCAGATGTCCCGTGGGGATCCCTTCAAGGATGTAAGCTGCTCTGTGTAAACCATTTTTTCTTTAATGCATGTGTCTGTTTCACTTGCATACATGGCTGTGTGCCGCATGTGTGAGTGCCTGGTGCTCGAGTGGTCAAAAGAGGAGGGCTCATTGTCCTTGGAACTGGAGTTAGAATTTGTATTACTCATTGCCCAGGTATAATAAGTTTGAAGATGTGGTAGCGTACAGGCCAGGGGCAGACATTTTTCATTCGGAGCCAGTTTGGTGGTGGTGGTGGTGGTGGTGGTGGTGGTGGTGGTGGTGGTGGTGGTATCATTTTTACATTTATTTAGAGATGGAGAATGTGCATTTGTACACAGATCTCCTACCCTTTGGGGCCAGGGAATCAATCTTGTGTTGTCAGGCTTGGTTGCAGGTACCTTATGTATTTGCTGAGCCATTTTACCTGCCCGAGCCAGCTTGTATATTAAATCTCAAGGTTCTGTCCTGTGGCAGTGGTTTTCTGCTTGCATGTGGTACTGATGGAATTTGTTGCCAGTTTCATGGAAAAACTTTGCTTGCTTGCTTATTTAGGCATGGGCTCACCATACATACCTGACTAGCCTGGAATTATAGGCCACGTTGACCTCAAATTCAGAGATCCACCTCCCTCTGCCTCAGGGAGTTGCTGGGGTTAAAGGCATGCACCATGGTGCCTGGCTGGAAAGGCTTTTAAATTTTTTATTTTTTAATCTTACTTACTTTTATGTGCATTGGTGTTTTGTGGTGGGTGTCAAGTCCCTTGGAACTGGAGTTACAGACAGTTGTGAGCTGCCGTGTAGGTGCTGGGAATTGAACCTGGGTCCTCTGGAAGAACAACCTGTGCTTTTAACCACTGAGCCATTTCTCCTGCCCCTTAATAGGCTTTTTTATGCTTTTGTAATATGTGTAAATTTGATGTTTACTTTTTATAAAATGTCTAGTTTGATGTGTAAAGTATGTTTATAATAAAAATAGCTTCTGTTACTAAGTTTGCATTATTTTGCAGATAATTTTGTATGTCAAGGAAGAAATGAAAAAAAATAATATCCCAGAACCAGTTGTCATTGGGATAGTCTGGTCAAGTGTGATGAGCACCGTGGAATGGAACAAAAAAGAGGAGCTTGTAGCAGAACAAGCCATCAAGCACTTGAAGGTAGTGGGGTTGTTCCTTGGTAGAGCAAACTGTCACACTCAGGTGGGACGTGGGGACTGTCAGTGGGTGTTTGTCTAAGACAGTTCTCAACCTGTGGGTCATGACCCTTTCACAGAGGTCACCTAAGATGATCATAACAGTAGCAAAATTACAGTTATGAAGTAGTAACACATAGTTTTATGGTTGGGGTCACCACAACATGGGGGAACTGTATTAAAGGGTCACAGCATTAGGAGAATTGAGAACCACTGGTCTAAAGGATTTACCACATTTGTGATGCTGGGAATAATCTACCAGTAAGCAGAAATTAGTGTTGATAATGCTTTTAAGACTGAGTTGGCTTTATCTGGTTCATATATTAAAAATAATAATGTTTAAAAGTAATTTAAGCCTGGGACTTGGTACTGCTGAGGGAAAATGGGAGGTTTTTTCTTACCCCCACTGAAGTATACTTACCTGAATGGAGCTTAGTAGATTTTTCTGCTTTACTATTTTGTATTCCTGATTTTCAATGAACTGATTATAATTCACTGTGGTAACAATGAGCTATGTTCTGTATTGTGGGAATTTTGTAAAGGATGACCATTGTAATTAGTAAGCCATTTGTTCTTTTAAAAGCAATACAGCCCTCTGCTCGCTGCCTTTACTACCCAGGGTCAGTCTGAGCTGACCCTGTTACTGAAGATTCAGGAGTACTGCTATGACAACATTCACTTCATGAAAGCCTTCCAGAAAATAGTGGTGCTTTTTTATAAAGGTAAATCTTCAGTCTTGTGAAGTAAGGAGTGTCTGGACGTGAGCACCCCATAGTCACAAAGTAAAACCATCTGTGCTTAAATTGAGGGTTGTGGTTCTGTTTGTGTTTGAGACAGGCTCTCACCTTTGTGTTGACTGGCCTGGAACTTAGAGAAAGATCCACTTGCCTCTGCCTCCCAAGTATAGTGCTGGGATCAAAGGTGTGATTCCTTACACCCAGCAGAATTGTGTATTTTTACTTAGTACATCTGTGAAGCTTGTTTACAAATTAAATAAATCCACAAGTAAGAATCTATCTCTCCCCACTCCCATCTTATCCCCACAGAACAACTACTCAAGTGCCAAGTAGGCATTTGTACCTTATGTGGTAGAAAGATTATGTTCAAATTTCTAATATAAATGACATTGTTTGTAGCTGAAGTCCTGAGTGAAGAGCCCATTCTGAAGTGGTATAAAGATGCACATGTTGCAAAAGGGAAAAGTGTCTTCCTTGAGCAGATGAAGAAGTTTGTAGAATGGCTCAAAAATGCTGAAGAGGGTAAGTCTTCCTCTGTGTGGATTTCGTGGAAGTTGGGGTTGTAGCATTTGGTTTTTGTTGATGTTTTAGACAAGACTTGATGGTCTAGCCCTAAATGGCTTTGTACTTATAACTGGTAACTGTTCCCTTGCCTCTGCTAGGATTGCAGGTATAGTTCACCTACTGGAAATTGGTTTTAATGTGACACTGATAAATCTCCACACAAGTTTCTTCCATCTTGTTGCCATTCCATATCTGGGGAGATTTTCTGTTCATTGTGTTACCCATGGTCATCTCTTTTTAAGCCAAGAAGGGAAATTAGACTTGAATCATTATAATATTTTTAGGGTTTTATTGTGTTTTATTTAATGTATGGGTGTGATCTCCACATGTTGGAACAACTTTTAGCAGAGATCAAGCAGGGGTTAGATCTTACCATGGGCTTATTGTGCTCTTACCATGGGCTACCATGATCTTATTGGACTTGCCGTGGGCTTCCCATGAGCTTTCTGACCCCATCATGGGTAGGGTCTTACACTAAACAGTAGGGAAATTGAAATTTTTTGAGATTGGCAAATGTGTAGTTGTTTTTAGTTGATATTAGTATAAAGCTTGAAATGACCTTTGACTGTTTCTCAAAATCTTTCCTAGAATCGGAGTCTGAAGGTGAAGAAGGTGACTGAATTTTGAAACAACATCCTCAGTAAAGCAAACAGGAGTTGTAGATAAAATGTCATGTCTCATGTGTCCTGGTTCTTACATCTTCCTACCTCCCTATATCAAGCATGATATAAGGGCTTTCATGGCAATTTTTATTTTAACTGTTTTTATGGTTCCTGGAAACTGTGGGTGTGGTTTCTGAAGCCATGTGTAAGAAGCTGCAGGGGCTGTAGAACTGAATCTGATGTCGCATTGGTTTGTCAGTTACCTTCTACCTCCTGGATTTTCTACTGTAATAATGTGATGTAAGGCCTTCCGCAATGAGCAGTTAACTTTATTCCCTGGGTTTTCTATATAAACAGTTTTCAAGATATGATTTGGTTAAAAATAATTTGTTACAAAAAATTCTGTTTGCAAATTAAACTGTAAAAGTATCCAAAATCTCAAAAGGCAATGATTTGTGTGATAATTTAGTATGTCCAGAGCCCTGTTCATAAGTGAAAATCCTGTAGACAATTGAATCTATAACATGAATCTGGAGTGTTTGGACCATTGGTTATATGTGTGCATTTTATTGTATTTTTAACCCCAGATGTTGTTTGCTCTCTGGAGAGCAAACTTGAGTTGAGAACTCACACATGGCAGAGGTAGGAAGAAGAAAACTGAGCTTATTCCTAGAAAGTTGTGTGTTCATTTTTATCTTTCCAGGTGGATAAAGTAGATACACTTCATACAAACATTCTACTCAGGACACAGCTAGACTGTGAGGAAAGGGTTCCCAGAGGACTGTGAGTCACTAACCCGTGAGATTGTTGGGAGTGTTTCGGGTGAGCATGTTCTAACAGGATCTAAACACAACTCCATTTCCTGTTGTGCAGGTCACGAGCAGTTATAGCCGTCTCTCACTTGTTATATAGGCCTGGCTTCGTTTTACTATATTCAAACACCTAGTAACATACCCTAGTTGCCATTATTTTCCTTTTTTGTTAATTGCCATGAGCCAAATACTTCCTTTAAATGATTAATCCATTTATTTTAATAGCTGCCCTTTTCATTGCTTTTCTTTTTGCTATCCATTTGTAGTTGGTAGGAGGAAAATGTAGCCACCTTTTTGGAAAGGCTAAAAGTGAACATTTTAAGAGTTTCTTAATTGATAAAAGAAAATAGTCTAGAATAATGCCACCAGAGACTGAGTGGAAATTGCCCATTTTGAAGGTGCCATTCTTAGAAGCCAATGATTTGGTATTTAAAGCTTATCTTGAGAGAATAACATGTAATATAATTTGAAATAAACGTTTAGTAGCCTTGAGAGCATTATAGCAAAAACATTGATGGGTGGGGTGAATTTGTAAAATGAATGACTTTGATAAAGTTTTATGCACAGGCAAATGTACTCATTAGATTCTGTGTAGTGATCTGCTTTTCCTTTGTAATTTGTGGTCCTAAAAAGAAATTTTTTTTAAATAAAGTCCATCCTTACATTTAGGTTTTATAGATCAGTCTTTTTTTTATCCCCACTCTCACCCCCCATAAATGCCATTGCTCCTAGTGGTGTGCTGTATGTTGTGCTTTCGGGTGTCTACTGTGTAAGCATTAACAATCCATGCTTCCACCTCCTCACAGATCCCAATGTAGCTGAAACTACATTGCCATTTCTACAACCAGATCCTTGCATGTTACCGCCATTCAAAACCCACCCTGTTTAATATATACTGTGTATAGTGAAAGAGTGTGGCGTCTTCCAGAACTACAAATGATCTTTGATCATAGATATTTCCCTTCGTACACAGTAGTGTTTAATTATTATAATAGTAAAATGGGTAAGGCACCTGTGAATATAATGTAAAGAAAGGGAGCAATTTATAAAATTATTCTCATTTTGAATTTAAATGCCAAACTATGGCCTCCAATATGTAATTCCTACTAGAGATGTTAAAACTGTGCTTTTAATCATGATAGGCAACTGTTGGTTGACTTCCTAACTTGGTGTCCGTTTCTAAGGCTTTTAGTCTCCCGGATACTATACTGTGTATTTAGAACTGATAAGTGTCACCTTACTAGGATTTTATTGTCCTAGAAATACTGTTCTTATAAAATCTCTACATACCAAAATGCCACATATTTTATTTGGCATATTGATGGTGGTGACGGGAAATGCATGTGACCAAGAGGTTAACTTATAGCAGTGTACAAGCTTTTCCATTATCAGAACTTCCCAGAACCCTTTTCCCCAATAGCACCCCAATAAATTTTAATATAGATACACTATATACTGTGTCTGTGCTTTATACATGAAATGAGTAAGAGTGTTTTTTATATATCCTCAAAGAATGAACTTAACCATTGATAAAGTGTTTGTGCGATGGTTTCATTAAGATACTCAGGTTAGCTTTGAACTCCTGTCAGGCAGGCTGTATGTGCACTTTCTTTTTTTCTTTTTCTTTTCCCGAAACAGTTTCTTTTCCTGAAACAGGTAGCTTTGGAGCCTGTCCTGGCACTCGCTCTGGAGACCTCAAACTCACAGAGTTCCGCTTGACTCTGCCTCCCGAGTGCTGGGATTAAAGGCGTGCGCCACCAACACCTAGCTGTATGTGCACTTTCAATCCTCCTGCCTTAGCCACCTGTGTAGTTGTTCTAGGCCTGTAAGGGGCAATTCATGATCTATGAATCCCCTCCCAACTGTAATCTATACCTTTTCCCCCTTGGCCTCGGGGCTTTGTAGATTGGAGAAAAAGACTTGTTTGAGGCAAGTTTGAGGCTAGTCCTGGCTGGCCTGAACTCTGCCTCTTCCTCCCTAGTGCTGGGATCAAACATGCATTTACCACACCCAGCATCAAACAGGCCTAAAACCTGATGGTAGATTTATCATTGAATCACCTAAGTTCCTTCTAATGTGTAAAAATTTCAAATTGTGAACAGTGCCAGAAAAGCAGCTTTTGAATTTTACTAGCTGTCTTACTCTATTGCTGTGACAAAACACTATGTCCAGGGCAATGGATTTATATCTATATATAAGCATTTGATCTGGGGGCTCCCTGTTGCTGGTTTTTCTTTCCAGCCTGGTCCCATAGCTGCCTTGCCCCAAATGAACACAGACTATATTAATTATAAAACTGTTGGCTAGGGCTTTGATTGGCTGGCTCTCTTAATTATTAACCCATAACTACTATGTATTCCTACATGACCTTATCTTACCAGAGAATGAACGCCTGGCACATCTTCTCAGTCTCTACATGACATTGCATTGCGGTGCCTCTCTGCCTACATTTCCCAGAATTCTACTCTAGTCCTACGTATGTTCCTGCCTCTATTGACCAACAGTGTTTTATTCATCAACCAATAAGAGAAGCATACAGAAAGACATTCCCCCATCAGCTCACAGTTGCAGAGGTTTAGAATCTGAGACCATTGAGGCTGTCGTATGGCTGGTAGACAGGTATGCATGCATGCATGACACTGGAACAGCTGAGAGCTTACATGTTGAGACAACCAGGAGGTAGACACACTGGAAATGGCATGGGCTTTTGAAACCTCAGAGCCTACCTACCTCCAGGTGCACACCTTAAGTCCTTCTAAAACACTTCTCCCAACTGGAGGCCAGAAATTTGGTTGGTTGAGTTGAACAAGCCAAAGTTTGAGTATATGTTACTGAATTATTTCTTCCTCAGGTGCTATGTAAAGTAAGCAATCATGAAAAGTCTTCAATTGCTTTGTTAGGATTTGTGTGTGTGTGTGCAAGCATATGTGTTCAGTGTTAGTCTTATCAATCTGAAATGCTTTTTCTATTCAACCTGAGGCCTTAAGTTTTAAAATACTAAGGATACGATAGACTTCGATGATCCCCTGTGGGAGGCCTCACCCTCCCTGGGGAGTGGAGAGTGGGATGGGGAGTTGGTGGGGAACATAGGACAGGAGGGAGAGGGAACTGGGATCGGTATGCAAAATAAGATTGTTTTTTTATTTAAACTTAAGATTTAAAATACTAGAAATACCATGAGCATGGAGACACATGCTATTAACCAAGCACTCAGGAGAAAGTGGCAGGTGTATCTGAGTCCAGGCCAGCCAGGCCTACATGGTTTGTCTAAAAGGGGTGGAGGTGGGGAGGAATAAAGATTTTCAGTGGGTGTGGTTTAAACAACCTGGAAAAATCTTGTGCTTTTGACTGGAAACATCTTAGTACAGAATTGGCTTTTTCTTGAGAAAATGTGAACTATAATGGATTATTAACTCTTGGCCTATGAATGGAGTTTCCTGTCTGGTCCAGCAGCCATTTAGTCCCAAATATTATAAACCATTTGGCTGATGGCACAGGCTTCTTAATTGGCTCTCTTAATTATTAATCCATTTCGATTAAACTATATATTGCCATGAGTCTGTGGTTTACTCATAGTGCTCCAGAATGTTATTCCTTTGGCAGTTCCTCGTTGCCTTCCTCTTCCCAGCCTTTTACTAGTCTGGTAGCCCTGCCTATGCTTCCTGCCTGTCTACCAGCCAATCAGAATTTATTCATCGACCAATAAGAGAAACATTAACAGCATGCAGGACATCCCCCATCATTGGCCATCTTGGTGTAATTGGCAGGCTGTAGCCTAGCAAGGGAGCCTTGTCTGTTAGGTATGAGTGCTGCATCTAGGAAAGGTGCAAGGAAAAAGCTTCAGAATTCCTTGGATTATCACAAGGAAGTAAAAGTTTATGAGACTTATGAATGTTCATGGTTGTGTAGTGGATTCCAGTTGTATATTGAGGTGTCCTAAGAAAAATCCATGTCATTACCCATTTAAAAATAAGTTGGCTGGAGAGCACACCAAGTGGCAGAGCACTTGTCTAGCATACCCACACAGGGTAAAATGTAGGGGTTTCTCACAGTTCTACTCAATGTCATAGTAATGGTGATTTACTACACCTGGAAATTACCATGAAATCCATAGATTTAAGGGCTCAGTCTCTAGAAGACTGTTTCCCCACTTGATGGCAATTCCAAGGCTGGGTCTATGGCTTTTTACATTGTGAGCTTGTGCACATGTTACATGCCTGCACTCATGTACATGCTTGTGTGCCCCATTAGTGTACATGTGAAAGCCAATTCTTTCCTCCCATGTTGGTCCTGTAGGCTGAACTTTTTTGAGACAGGGTATCACTCTTCAGCCCTTGCTGGCCTGCCACTGCCCATGTAGACAAGGTTGGCCTTGATCATGAAATCCAAATGCCCTTGCCTCTCAAGTGCTGGAGTCAAAGACAGTTGCAGTACTCTTACCCACTGAGCCATCTCTTCAGCCCCTTTTTTAAAGATTACTATGCATACAGTATCCTGCTGATGTATGTAGCTGTCAGAAGATGGCACCAGATCTCATTATAGATGGTTGTGAGCCACCAACTGGTTGCTGGGAATTGAATTCAAGACCTCTGGAAGAGCAGCCGGTCTCTTAACCTCTGAGTGCCAGTGTAATTTAAAAAATAAAACTTACAGCAAGAAGGGCCTAGGCCCTCCACCAAATGATATGACAGACTTTGAAGGTCCCTGGTGTAGGGCATTGGGGGCATTGGGGGTGGGAGGAGTTGGGGGATGGGTTGGGGAGGATGGATATGTAAATACAAGTAGTAATTAAGAAATTTAAATAAAAAATAAACTTTTAAAAAAATAAATACATATCATGATCTTGATTTATCAGTATTATAAACCACAGCAGTGATGTGCCTAGGAAACAAGGGTTTTTGTGCACACCCATGCACCCATGTTGAGGTCAAAGCAGGCTATGGGGTGTCTTGCTCTATCTGGCTCTGCCTTACTGCCTTAAGGCAGGATCTCCACAAACTTCTTAAGGAGCTAGGACCTAGGTTTACCTTTAGGGAGCGAACTCTGGGGTTGTAATCCTCTTGGTAGCAGGAGAGGATTTATAAAATCAGCAACTCTTAAAAGTAATTTGTTCCATGTGTATCCATGTAGAAGTTAAATAACTTTCCAGAGTTGGTTCTCTCCTTCCTTCCACTGTTTCCAGAAATCAAGCAAACTTAGGTTGTCCAACCTAATGGTAAACATCTTCATGTACTGAGCCTAGCTCAATTTTCAAGGTTTTTTAAAGTCAAACCCAAACCAAAAATTAAATGACCACAGAAAACTGAGGCTGTATCCAACATGCATGAAGTCCAGATAAAGCAAAGCACCAGGCTCTCATCCCAGTCTTGATGTATAAGCAGAGAACCATTGAGGATCAACCTCCAGTCTCCACAGGCACTTCCACATGTGGCTACATGTGTGAGCAAATAGACAAAAAAAAAAATCCTGCCTCAAGCCGGGCAGTGTTGGCGCACCCCTTTAATCCCAGCACTGGGGAGGCAGGCAGATCTCTGTGAGTTCAAGACCAACCTGGTCTACAAGATCTAGTTCCAGGGCGGCCTCCAAAGCCAGAGAAACCCTGTCTGGACCCCCCCCTCCAAAAGAAAACCTGCCTCACTACACGAACCTTGGTTCAGAAACATGGCTAGATGTTTATTCTTAGCCTGAAGGAATAGTTTAGTAACAAGCAGAATATACCACATCTACAGATTGGCCAGGACACAGCAACACTAAGCTCTGAACAATGAAGGAAAACAATCTTGGCTAACCTTTAGTTGAGGCTTCACATAGAGTTAACGCAGAGAAAGATGGTGCCACACTACTCACATTACTTAAGAATGTAAGAAAGTTGGGGCTGGAGAGATGGTTCAAGAGTGGCTCTTCTAGAGAACCCAGGTTTGATTTCCAGTACCCACAAAACAAGTTAATCTGCAACACCTTTTTCTGGCTTGCACACATGATGTAGGCACTTCCAGACTTAAAAAAGCCACCTGGGCAGTAGTGCCACATGCCCTTAATCCCAGCTTGGTCTAAAGAGTAATGGGACACACAGAGAAACCCGGTCTAAGGAGGTTGGGGTAACCACCCCGAAACAAAATGACTGCAGAAAGCACCAAACTATATAGACTTTTATAAATTCATAAGCACAGTTTATTCCAAATAAATCATTTGAAAATTACTGAAAGATGCTTGTTATTTGGCTTGGCCATTATTTAATAAATCATATAATCAATAAAAAAACATAAGAAATGTACAAAGCTATACAAAATAACTTAATATTTAAAACTAGACTGATGCAGTCTGTAAGACCTCTTTCAGAGCACTGTAAATATTTATAAACTATGTTTTTTAAGTGGGTTAAAGAAAGGATGCTTTAAGGCTTCTCTGAGAGTAATCCTTTCAGCTGGATCATACGCCAACATTTTCCCAATGAGGTCAAAAAGCAGCTCATGTTCGGTATCCTGAGATAGCATAAACTCCTGAAACAGAGAAAAATGTTCTTACCATCTGCTATAAATAAAAAACAGGAAGAAACTCTTCAGAATCATGGGGTGCCAGGTTACTGGGCCTCCTTTTCTAAGCCATCATTAAAACATTTCTAGAGGGAAGAGGCTAGGGTAGGGAATAAGCCAGGTAAAACAGTGCATTTGTAATCCAAGCACTGGGATGCTAATGGGAATTCTGAGGCTAACCTGGACTGCTTGTTAATAACAGCAAGACTGTCTCAACCAGCAAAACTCAAAACTAGGAGGAGACCTGGGTGAAGGTTAACAGTAGACTATAAGGACCTGGGTTTCATCTCTACACTCCAAAAGTGGGCAAAGTGGGAACATGAAAGTTCGGGTTATCAAGACCACGCAAACTTACCTTTAAAGGTTTACAGCGCCGTGAAACATATCTGCCAGCAGAACTGTGTTCATCCCAATCTAATCTATCGTGATGGAAATATTTACGTTTCCTAAAACAGTTAAACATTCACATTTACCATGTTGACCTTCCAGAGCAAAGATGATGGATCAACTACTGTAATTTTCCAGGTTAAATCTTTTTCGAGAGTTCTAAGAAATAGCCAAGCAGCAGGATTTATTCACCATCAATAAATAATTTAATATGCAGTTTAACTGAAAAATAATTAGTTTCAGTTTTGTTTATAGTTCTGATCAGAATCCAGTGGCACTAAGAGACCCGACTCAAGTAAAAAAAATTAAAACATACCTGGTTTTCTGTATCATGTGCTTTGGTAGTGGTCCAAGAATCCTTTCCATCATTGCCAAATGTTCCCTGCTATCATGAGTCTAAAATAAAAACAAAAAACCAGTTGTTAACCAATGATATTTATAAACCATGCCCCATTCTATTACCCAGTACAAGTTTTCTAGTCCCAAAATGTAGTAATCAAGATGGCAGACAGCAAAACAACATCAAAGCCTGAAGCTTGCCGGTGATCTTCCTTAAATGGTTTATGACAACTGCTTACAATATCTGTAAAACTACCTAAATTACTTATAACTAGTAAGAAAAAAACCTATACTTGTGTAAATGTATTCTTTGAAATCAAGTAGTTATTTACACAAACAGGCACTTTTTAAAATGCAAAGCCAATAGAATGCATCATTGTCACTTACCGGAAAAACTGTAAATCCAAGGTAGTACTCAATAAGAATACAACCTATACTCCAGACATCACATGGTTGAGACCACCCCAGGGCTGGAAAGCAAAGCACAATGAATGTCAGGGGAGAAACTTCAATATTTCTTCAAGACATTTTAGCATAAAATTCACACTAGCAAAACTGTCAAGTTCTGAACTTTGTGAGATGCCCTGCCTTCAATGTGTAAGATGCTTGATTTAATCTTACACTCTGACTTTTGTTCACAACACCCCAGGCACATTAGACAACACCAGCCTCCCAGACACAATTAGGTGCATGGTAGACAATACATTTTTTCAAGTCAGACTCTGGATAGTAGAGCAGAAGGACTTCCTGACGCAGCCGGGAGGTGCCGGTATCATAGACACATCACATCTGGGTTAGTCTGGATAGTTACAACACGTAACAATCTCATTTTTAAAGATACTTCCTGGGTCCACAGATGTTTAGTTGAGATTTCAAGGTTTTTGTTTTTGAAAGAGAATCTCAGTATGTGGCCCAGGCTGGCTTCTAACTCAAGAGATCTACCATGCCTAGCAATTTGAAGATACTGAATATAATTTCTAACACTTTTTCCTTTTTTTTTTTTTTTTTTTGATAATTCTGGGCATTAATGTTGCCTACAATAAAGCAATGTGGTTGTTAAAACATAACAAGCACTAACCTAAAATAACTTCAGGTGCTCTATAATGTCTTGTAGATACCAGTGTACTGTGATGTTCATCATCGTATGTTGCACTTCCAAAGTCAACAACTTTAACATCTGGATTTATTACTGTACGTTCATCACGTTTCTGAAAATCGTAAGTTACAAGTTATGAAGGCAAACTGTCAAAACAAAGTATTCACTAGCACCATGACGATGTTATAAGGACTTACCATCTTGGGATTATAAGCCTCTGTGTAGTCAGACTGAACAAACAAGATGTTTTCAGGCTTTAAGTCAGTGTGAGTCAATTTATTACTGTGCAAAACTGGAAAGAAGCACAATGAGTTACTATAGTCTCAAAAGTCAAAATAAAAACACATAATCTGAGCTGGAAGCAAAACATGAAAATCCAAGTTAGACCAGCCTACGTAGGTCTAAATGAGACGTTGTCATTTTTGTTTGTGACAGGGTTTCTGTATGTATACAGCCATGACTGCTTTTCTAACACTCACTTTGTAGATAGACCAGTCTGGCTGGCCTTGATCTCGAGATGTGCCTGCCTGTTTCTTGAGTGATGTGATTAAAAGTATGCACCACCCTACCTGGCTAAAACTATAGTAGAAAACAAGGCCATACAGTGAGATTATTCAGCAGTCAAATGCATGTACTTGCACTGCTCAACTTTTTTGTTTTTTTTTTTTTTTTTTTTTTTTTTTCTTTTTTTCTTTTTTTCAAGATAGGGCTTCTCTGTGTAGCTTTGGAGCTTGTCCTGGAACAATCTCTTGTAGACCAGGCTGGTCTTGAAGCTGGGTTCAATTCCCAGCACCCACATCAAGTGGACCACAACCATCTGTAACTTTAACTCCTGGGGGATCTGACACCCTAGGACTGTGATTAGCTGTAGTTGTGTGTATTGTACATACATGAAAATAGCAAAAGAAAAACAGAAAAAATTCAATCCCCAGTCTAGAAAAAATTCAATCTCAGTCTAGAAGAAAAATAAAAACCACTCAAGAAGGTGTGGGAGTGTGGGAACACATGCCTGATCCTAGACTATTCCAGCCATACAGCCCTCTATCTATCCACAGCACTCAGGTAGTTCATACTGAAATCTGAAGGCCAGTCTGAGGTTATACAATGAAGACTGTCTCTTATCACCAGGGACTGAAATAAACCATTCATTCCCCAACCACAACAATGCTGGATGTGGTGGCAACATATTCCCACAATCTTAGCACTAGGACAGAGTGCAAGGCTAGCATGGACTGCAGTGAGACCATGACTCTCAGTAACAAGTCAGCTGAGAGTATGTCCACCATCTGTAATCTCAGCACTTGGGAGAAAAAGGTCAGAGGGTTGCCAGAAGGACAATGGTTTACAAATCCTGTTCCGGGCCAGCCAGGGCTATGTAGTGAGAAACTCTTATCTACAAACAGATGTATTCCAGTGTGATAAATATGATTGGAGCAGGGGAGGGTATGAAGCCAAGATTTGTGGCATTTAAAATCTCCACAGCCCAGGATAAATCAAGCTGTAAGCATACACCTTTTTATTTCGACAGGGTCTAATGTAGTAGTCCAGGCTGGCCTTGAATCAGATACAAAGCCATAAAGTCCTTATAACTCTTATCTTTTTGCCATCTATTAAAGGCTAAAATTACAAGCATGCACGACCATGCCCAGTTTATATGGTAAATTAGAGAGCAAACGCTTTGTACATATGCTTTGTACATATGAAGTAAGCACTCTACCACTTATGACATTCCTAGCTTTCTATGTCAAAGACTAACAGCCTGTTATCAACGAAATCTTATTTCATACTTAATCATTTCTCTCCTCTGGAGATTGAACCTAAGGGTGTACGTGGTAAGTCACACTGTACCTCAAATCTTTTGAACTTTCCCCCCCAAGACAGGGTTTCTCGATATAGGCCTGGATTATCCTGAACTCACTGTAAACCAGGCTGGCCTCAAATTCAAGAGATTCTTCTGCTTGAGTGGTGGAATTAAAGGCACCACCACCACCACCATTGGGCTTTTTAACCCCTTATTTCTCTCTCTCTCTCTCTCTCTCTCTCTCTCTCTCTCTCTCTCTCTCTCTCTCTCAAGACTGGGTTTCTCTGTATTGCTTTGGAGCCTATCCTGGCACTCACTCGCTCGAGACCAGGCTGGCCTTGAACTCACAGAGATCCCCCTGCCTCTGCCTCCCAAGTGCTGGGATTAAAGGCATGCACCAACAACGCCCAGCCTAGGTTCTCTTTTTTAAAGATTCAAATTAGTCTGACATTAGTCTCACAAAGCGTGTCAAGAACTTACAATTTACAGATCTGCAGATTTGATATGCCATCTTTCTAATATGATCCAGTCGAAATGGCAGAAAACCATTTTCCTTAATGAAGTCATAAGTACTAAGACCCAGAAGCTCAAACACAATGCAAATGTGACCACGATGTTCAAACCACTCCAACATCTGGACACAGCGGCTATAAACATGAAAAATAACTCCAATGAGCTTACAATTCAAATCTTATCTGAAATGATTTCCCATGTTTTAATTTGATACTTACAAAGTACTGTGGGGATCCGTTGTATTCAAGTGCTCCAGAACTTGAATTTCAGATCGAGCAGCTTCACAATATCTATCCACATTTTTAACTATTTTTACTGCTACATGTCTACCACCCCTGTTAGAGAGAATAAAAAAATCTAAAATTAAAAAGGTGGTAATTCAAGTTAGGTGTAGTGGCATATGCCTTTAATCCCAAGCACTCTGGAGTCAGAGGCAGTAGGATCAAAGTTTGAGGCCAGCCTGGTCTATACAGAATTCTAAAATAGCCAGAGATATATAGAGGCCCAGTCTCAAAAAAAAAAGAAAAAAAAAATACTTCAACTTTTTGTTTTTTCGAGATAGGGTTTCTCTGTAGCTTTGGAGGCTGTCCTGGAACTAGCTCTTGTAGACCAGGCCGGTCGCCAACTCAGAGATCCGCCTGCCTCTCTCTGCCTCCCAAGGGCTGGGATTAAAGGGTGAGCCATCAACCCCTGGCTCAAGACTGCAATTTTTTAACTTTTTAACTTAAGCAACACAAATAACCTTTCACTGTCAGTTATTCTACCATTTACCATATAACGAAGACTTTAACCGTATAACAACTCATGAGTTACCCTTTGTTCCCTCATGGTGCCCACCCACAGTTAAGTACTATCTCAAATACTCCTCCAGGTTGTCAGAAAAGTTGGTGCTAGGTCTCAGAATCTTACAGCCTCTTCCAACTCAACTCATTTAGAAAAGTTTCTGCTATTCCCAGGACAGGACATCCATAGCTAATAAAAATGGTTTCGTATAAACAAGGCCCCATATCTTGTATGTTTTGGTTGTGAGCCTAGCCTTTAACGGCTGAGCCATCTCTTATCCCAGGACGAAACACACAAATGTTTCATTTATTCAAGATGGGGAAAAAACAAACAAACAAACAAAATCTACTACCAGAAACATTACTTGGGGGCTGGAAGGATTGCTCAGCGGTTCCAGCTTACAGAAGTCCAGAGTTCAATTTCCAGTACCCCACAATGGGCAGCTCACAACCACCTATAGGGACGCCCTCTTCCAGCCTCTAACTCATATGATATGCAAGCATGTGTGCACACACACAATTAAAAGTCTGAAAACAGGGGCTGGAGAGATGGCTCAGAGGTTAAGAGCTCTGGCTGCTCTTCCAGAGGTCCTGAGTTCAATTCCCAGCAACCACATGGTAGCTCACAACCATCCATAATGAGATCTGGTGCCCTCTACTGGTCTGCATATATGCATGGAAGCAGAATGTTGTATACATAATAAAATTTTTTAAAAAAAATCTGAAAACATTACCAGCACGTTAAACCCCTGCGGGTCTGACTACCAACATGTGCATGGGTTGAGGGTTTGATGGACATAAATACCTACACCTTTGACATCCATCTAGAACAAAGAGTCACCACCAGCCCTAACTGTCACCAGAACTCATTATGACTTCTTTAAAGCAAAACCAAGTCTCCTTATACCCTTTGTTGCTGCTGGGAATTAAACTCAGATTTCTGTCCCCCTCCCCAGTCAGGAAGCTGCAAATATTTAGTTGGTTTTGTTTAAAAAGTACTAGAGGCCAGGTGTTATGGAATACTGCTTTGACCCCAGCCAGCACTCAAGAGGAATTAGGATTTGAGTTCCAGGCCTACACAGTAAGACCCTAATCTCAGAACTACCAAAAAAAGGGAAAGCACCTTTACCTATGAATTTCTTATTCACTAAGTCAAAAGGTTAAATGGCCATCAGCAAAACCAATTCTCTACAAAGAACTCAAACCCAATCTTCTTGAAACTTACATTTTATGATCGATGCACTCTACTACTTTTCCAAAAGCACCTTCACCTAAAGTATTAACAATTTCATCTAAAAAAGAGAAACAAATTTCACTCAGATCAAGAAGAGGGAACAATGTACTTAAATGCTATCAATGCAGATTATTCTAGGTGATGCTACAAATTTCCTATCACTAATTACTTATCAGCCAACACCATCCAAAAACATACAACTATTCTTAAAACTGATTTCATTCTCTGGCTAATTTCATCTACTTGATTTACTGCTCTGGAATTTCTGTACAACATATATTAAAACTCTAAAGAAAGCAAAGACACAATCCCCTCCCACCAAAAGAAATGAAAACAAAAGAACAGAAAGAACAAAGATTTCCAAATCCCTGAAATCTTAATCTATATATACATATAGATTATGCTATCTGAAAAGTTAATAAGTGTTGAAAAATATTCTATACATCTTGCACTTAGTACGTCTCCACTCTGACAGATCAGGTGACCCTCCTCATCATCCTCTACACTCCTGGTTCTTTTCCTTCGGTGACTCTTCTGGAAACGTCAAGTGGGCGGCACCAAGATCATCCAGCCAATCAATATACCCGAGTGAATTCAGGGCAGAATACGAAATTCATTCAGCGGGGAGATATTCAGGCATTCAGATACACGCCAGGCCACAAACGGTTGGCAGGAGCAATTTCAAATTCAGTCCCCAGAAATTCACAGGGCACATAGTTTATGTTAACAGGAGAAAAACATGGCAAGGAACAGATTTTCAGATAAGATGCTCAAAATGGTAATGCAACAAAACATAAACACAACTGTTTTTTCTTTAAAAAAAAATGCTTATCTGTAGCATTCACTGAAACATATTTTAAGTTTCTAGTGTCCTACTTTAATGCTACAAAACTGTAGAATATATTATTGATTTGTAGTACACCGTGGCCACATTAAAGATTCCCTTACTAAGAAATCAAGTATTAAAACAGTAAAACCATAGTCCTAATTTTGGGAGGAAAAAAGATTTGGTATATAACAACATTACGGCATTTAAAATGTCATCTGATTTCCAAATTAATACACAAAACCATTAAGTTCAAACCTGTAGTTTGCTTAATGAGAAAAAGATAATAGAACAGGTTAAAGTATGTCATAACTAACTCTCACAAAAAACACCTAATTCTTCATGATAATAACTGAACTTATAAGATTTCTTAAAATAGCATTAAGAAAATCTTAAAATCGATTATTATTACCCCCCTCCACTAATGTAATGGCAAACAGTAGCTAACAGTCATTAATCTATTACAGAACTAAACATACGTTGTTTTCATGATTTTCTATGCAATGCACAAATACTGAAAGAATATTCCTGCAAGCTGGAGCTGTGGTGTGTAATTAACCTTAATTTTTCTTAAACACAAATTTGCTTCCTGTTCTCCATGGGAAATAAAAACTTTGAGAATGTTTAAAAAGTGCTCATACCCCAAGTGAACGATGATGTGAAGTGCGGTGGTGAGTCCTGTGGTTACTTTTGTAGCTACTTCTTCCACTTCTACCAGAGGACTTGCTACTATGGTTCTGATATCTGCTTTCATGTTCTCCATAGTAATAATAGCCTGGCTCATATCCCATGTCATCATTCCTGTATTCGTCAATGTAGCGTCGACTATGATACTCTCTCTCATGTATGGATCTGCTTCCCAGATAATAGCTAGAAGAGAAGTTTATTTTATATAAAAACAACAAACAAAAAACCCAACCCTGAATTCCCAAATTCTCTTTGCAGTGTAGGGACTGAACTTGAGGCCTTTGCCCAAGTTAAATATTATACCATTAAACTACAGTCCTTCTGTAATCCCTTGATTATTCGTTAGTGAATAAACAGGTTAAATGGCCCCCAGGGCTGCATGCATGACAGGCATTTTACATCTGAGCTACACAGTTCCAGGCCAAAAGTGTATTTTTTCATAGTTGTTTTTCAAGACAGGGTTTTCTGTATATAGTCCTGGCTATCTTGGGACTCACACTGTAGGCCAGGCTGACCTTGAACTCAAGAGATCCACCTGCCTCTGGTATTAAAAGGCATGTAGGGAATTTGTAGAGTTTATTTTCCATGCCTTGTAAAGATGTATTTTTAATTATGTGTATTGCCTCTCTGTATGGGCAGTACCCATGAATGCAGGAGAGGGCACCAGGTGCCCAAGAGCTGGAGTTACAAGTTATAGTGGTAGTGTGCCTGCTGAGACCAAACTGTCCCCTGCAAAACCTCTAACATGTTGAACCATTCCCAGCCCATAACTGCCCTTCTTACCTATCAGTCGTTTTGGAGTGATTATATTTGCATCGCTTATGTTCTCGAATACTGCTATGTGATCTCTTCTTTCTTTTATGACTGCTGCTGTTCCTCCACGTTCCATAATCCCAATCTCTTTCATCCCAGTCAGGACAGTAAGTTCTCTTTAAATGCCTCATTCTACAAAAAAGACAATTTTTCCCTAGTTAATTGGATTTATGTGTTCAGTAGTAAAAGCTTTCTTTACAAATGCACACTAGTTTTGATTTTTTTTGTTTGTTTCTTCCCCTAAGGTCTCACTATGTAGTTCTAGTAGTCCTGGAAACACATATATAGAGACCAAGCTGGCTTTGACCTCTGGAATCTGAATTTTATTCAGATTTTCTACCTTGTTCTCACCATAACCAAATTTATGGAAGTGGAAAAATGAGGTTGCTATATAGCTCAGGGAAAATTTTTACCGTCACCCTTCCAGAAGTACAAATTACAGGTTCACATATGATTCAATTCCTACCAGGACCAAGTCTTCCTCAATACAACAGCAACTAACCCTAATTAATTTTTTATCTGTTTAGATGTTACCATAAGTTACAAACTCAGTAAAAATGCTGTTTGGCAGATAACCTCATTTCCCAATGCTCCTTCAAGCAAATGTCTATGGTACCTGCCAGTATCTTGACTGCTAAAAAAGTGAGACAGGAAAAAAATATGGGAGGGAAAGCCCGAGAAGGAAAAAGGTTCATTATGAGTGTATGCGTAATTGGTCTGCCTTTTATGCCGAGTCAGCAGACTTCAGGCCTCCCTTACAAAGCCAATTAACTTACAGGACAGTCCATGATGATGAAAGCAATAAAACTGTTTTTTTACATAGAGGGGAGATGATTCATACTTGTAAGGCGCACCCCTCTCCTTCCCTAAAGGTAAACTATGTCCCTTAAAGAGTACATTGTACAACTTTTGTTTACAAAGGAAAAAAAATTGTTACAAAGTACACCCTCCGAGCCTGTTTAATACAAAAAGGAAGCCCGGCGTTGGTGGCTCAGGTCTTCAATCCCAGCACTCGGGAGGCAGAGGCAGGCGGATCTCTGAGTTCAAGGCCAGCCTGGTCTTCAAAGAGAGTTCCCAGGACAGGCTCCAAATATACAGAGAAACCCTGTCTCAAAAAGTCAAAAACAAAAAATAAATTCCACAATCTCCGGATCCACCTAAACCCATTTTTGTAAAAGCAATTCTTATTCTGACACGCACCTGTCCCTGTGCTTTACGCTTTGGGATATCTTTCTGTTTATTTAATAAGCTCAACTCTGCTTCATACTGGCTGCCTTTTCTGAAATCCTTTTCTTTGTCGAAGCTGGGTTTTGCCTGGGTGGAAGTCTCTAAACTGTCCCCATAATGCCCACCGCCGACCGGATCGCAGCTTGTGGGTCCCACCTGGGTAACAAAAGACCTCACGCCTCAAATAAAAAAAAAAAAGAAAAAGAAAAACAGCACCAAAAACTGTGTCGTCCACTTCTTTCCTCGGGCTCCTAAATCTGCTTTCTTCGCCACCACGGAGCCCAGAACCACTACCGCGAGA